GAGGGAGAAAGAAAGAGAGAGAGAGAGACAGAGAGAGAGAGAGAGAGAGAGAGACACAGAAAGAGAGAGAGAGAGAGAGAGAGAGAGAGAGAGAGAGAGAGAGAGAGAGAGAGAGAGAGAGCTGCCACGTGGCACTTATCGACGACGACGGGCAGCGAGGACGAGCTGGGAAATGGGCAGCGACGGCGGGCAGCGAGGACGAGCTGGGAAATGGGCAGCGACGACGGGCAGCGGCAGCGGCAGTGACGACGAGCACCTCGACGATGGCGGGCAGCGACGGGCGTCGACGGCGGGAGCACTACCTCGGCGCGGGCAGCCGGCATCACTTCGACCACTTCACTGGGCAGYGGCGGGAGCAGCTCAATTCTTTGAATTTGAAGCGGGCGCACGGCGGAAAAAATTTGTGCGGGGGGGCGGGGAGGCTCCCAAGGCCCAGAAAAGTCGAAACAGGCCTCCCCCCCCCCCCCGCACAAAAATGCGCTGGGCCCGCCCGGCATCTAACCGGGGGACCCAACCAGCCGGACCGCCCGGGACCCCTGCCGGATGGAGGCTGGGCCGCCGGGCGGCCCAGAATTTAACACAGCTTTTTTTTTTTTTTTACTTTTTTTTTCCCTTTTCTTTTAACTTGCAAAGCATTCTTCGTTCCTCGCCACTGATCTTCATAATCTATGGCCACAAATGAAGAATCCAGGGGAGCCTAGCCTGGCCCCAGTATCTCAAAAAAAAAAAAAGGGCGACGACCTAGAGACATGATCATCGAACTGAGCGGCCCCAGGGAAATTCTTACCTGATAGACGTACCCACAAGCAATTGCCACAGACAGAAAAAGGCTAATCCTTTGATCACCCAATGTCATAGCAAGCTTGAAAAACTGCACCAACCCCAAGCCAAGAATAGCTATACCTGCAGCCAATACAGGTCCACGTCTGAAAGGGACACGCCGAGAGCGAAAGTAGGCAAAAAAGCATTGACAGCCAGTTGGTTAAACCAATGTATTAAGTTAAAGTGGGTTCAAACTTCGAATTAAAAAAGAAAAAAAAAAGAAAAGGTTGAAGTGTTCCAAAAGTAGCAATACCAATTTTGGTTTAACGTTGCAGTTATTAAACCCTTGGGCCGTCGCCACACCGCTGTCGAAACCACAAAAAAATTACGACTGCATGTTCCCGGCGTTCCCGCGATGAGTGGCCGGATGCAACCATTACTATGAATAGTAACGGAACGGGTGCATCTGATCACTTTCTGGGGAAGATGCACTCGCACTTTTCTCGTTTCGACAGTGGTGTGGCGAGAGGCCGTTAATGCTACGAGGGTTACCACCGAGGTCTCTGAATCATCAGCCAAAAGACAAGAGAGCCTGGACCCCGATCAAGAAAAGAAAGGGCCTATAGTTGCACCACTTGCCATCCGCCAACATTATGAATGCAAATTTGGAGTGTGCATCTGGACGAGTTGTCACTCCAGATGCATTCAAAATCTTGGTGGATAGCGAGTAGCGCAACTAGGCCCAAAGAACTTGAAAGAAGGAAATAATAAAGAGGAGTTTCTTACAGAAGGCCTCCCTTCTTCCATTGGTACTGAAAGTTCGCTGTGCTTTCTTTGACAATTCAAAAGATGCTCTAAGTATGAAGCAACATAGAAGATTCCAACTTCCAAATTTGATACCAGAATATTCAGTCTATAATTATTAATTAATGATTAGTAATTAATTTAATTAACCTGGAAGGCTGGAACTAATGTCTTCTTCAGCTTCTGGCACATCAAATGGACATCTTTCACATTCTGCTAAGGATGCTATAAAAGAAGTAATAAAAGTGATAAAACCAACTGGCGGACGCCATATATTCCAGCTTAAACCACCAGTAAGTACATGGCCCCAGGCAGCTGTAATCGATAATAAAATAAATCAAGTCTCTGGATCATTCCCATTTTGAATTTAATTGGACGTGTCAAATGACAATCGACAATAAAATCAATACCGTCGACGCAATGTAAATTTCAGAAAATTTCCTACAAACATAAAGTAAGGTCGTGGAACGCGCACCTTCCTATGAGATTAACATATGATTCCTTTTTGTTCTTGTCGACTCCCGTCACAGAATCATAATAATCATTACTGCAAAACAAAACCGAAAAGCAAAACACACATTTCATTTAGCACAGTGCGTAAGAGTCGTATGTACTATGCCGTCATAAGTGCAACAAGACAAAGCAACAGTTGACCCAGAATAGACTTATTGCAAATCTTTACCGCAAAAAAAAAAAAAAAAAAAGGCGACAGCAGATTAGGCGTATCGCAAATCATTTCTGCAATGCATTGATTCTCTTCTTACTTAGCCGATGCCGGGTAATGGCCCCAGTAAGTGGCAGTAACTCATTTTTTGTTCTGAAAAATGTTCTCATCAGATACGTTTTCCAATGAGACGCTGGGCGGGTTCCCAGCACATTTTGCTCCCCACAAATAGATTGGAGCATTTGGTACTCCCCCCCC